TCTTCATGTATATAATATAAACTAGCAAAATACCGGAGTTCCTCAAGGGGTGGGGTGAAAAGTTTTTACGGTTTTGCAAATTTCGGGACCCCTTACAAGTCGGTGCGACCAGCGGTTTAAAAGGAATTCCGTGACACACACACACACGCACAAAATTTGTTTGTTTCAGGTGAAGCACAAAGCTACACAATGGGCTATATTTGCTCTGCCCACCACGGGCATACCGCTGCGCCACTGGGGGCCACACAAAGAAAATCTTATTATATAGATGTCTTGTTATTTTTATTATTTACTTTCTACACACGCACACGTTACTCACAAATCGTTCAAACTTGGGCGATGTTTTTTTTTTGTCCTTTGGGTTTGTTTGTTTTTTTCACTTTGGGTATCTTATTTTATATAGTTTACGTCTAAATAGTAAATACATTTTATAAATACTTGACAATTCGCTGACGTTAAAACGTTTTTACATGTTCACCTCATCATTTTTGATATTTTTAAGGCGACTGTTCGTTTCTAGTTTAATTTCGAATCATTTTTAGTTGTTTTTGCTACATTTTTTTCTTGGCAGCGGGACTTCAAAGCAAACGAGTTTTATAAAATCTAAAATTTACTAAAAAAATACTCGGACATGCTCTTAAAGAATGTGACGTTGCCGTCTATTCTAAATCAAGATGCTAGAGGAGAAGAAGACGAACTGAGCCTCCAAGTAAAATAGAGCTTGCTCGTTCACAAGCTGAGGCTTGAGATGAATTTTATAAGAATGGGATCAACCAATAGCGTACTTTTAGTTGTTGAATATTATAGGTGACAGTGTTTTACTCGTTGATCTAAACCGGGGGACCCCTTTGAAAATATTTCAGGCTGTGACTACTCCCCCTTCCCCCACACAGTGATAAACAAACTACTGCACGTATTCTAAAGTATCCATTATTTGATTTTTTTTTTTTTACGTCGCGAACCATCTTCGATAGCCTTGCAACGTCCAGGTTGAGAAGCGTTGATCTAAACAACGCTAGCGTTTAATTAGATATTAAAAACTGGGATATATATATATATATATATATTACTTGACGAGTTATTCGGCAACTCTATGAGGTATTACATTCCGCTGTAAAACCAGCTAAGTTCAAGTATTTTCAGGAAAACCGCAACATCGACACAAACAGGAATGTTTCGTCAAAGAATTTTCACAATATAATCTTTTGCGACTTCCTGCGTGATCAATCATCACAGATCATATAGTTCAAGCACAAAGAGAAATTCTCTAGTTACACGTGACTATTCAGTCACTGGTAAAAGTGTGTACCATTCTTAGTATATGTTGAGGTAATCGGAACCGCTTGTTATTTCGCATTTGGAATGTGATGACTGTAACAATGGTGTTTAATGAAACACCTGTCACGCATAGTACATAGCTGTTGTTTTTTCTCAATCCACGCTGGTCGAAGTCCACTACAGTGGCGCAACCGATCTGTTATTACATGTGCATCTTAACAAGCATCCGTCTATTGAAAAAATAATCATTTTGTACTGTTCGGCGAAAATATTTATATTTTCAGTCATGAAAGACAAATATGACCTAAACGGCGATGTCAGACTTCCACAGCTCAGGTACTGTAAAACTATATACTGACCAGGCAAATCTTGTCTTGTAAAACATAGTTTTACGGTACAAGATTCGTCTCGTCAGTACATAGTTTTACGGTACAAGATTCGTCTCGTCAGTACATAGTTTTACGGTACAAGATTCGTCTCGTCAGTACATAGTTTTACGGTACAAGATTCGTCTCGTCAGTACATAGTTTTACGGTACAAGATTTGCCTGGTCAGTACATAGTTTTACGGTACAAGATTTGCCTAGTCAGTATATGGTTTCACAGTACAAGATTCGTCTGGTCAGTATATGGTTTCACAGTACAAGATTCGTCTGGTCAGTATATGGTTTCACAGTACAAGATTTGCCTGGTCAGTATATAGTACTGACGAGACGAATCTTGTACTGTAAAACCTTATACTGACCAGGCAAATCTTGTACTGTAAAACCTTATACTGACCAGGCAAATCTTGTACTGTAAAACCATATACTGACCAGGCAAATCTTGTACTGTAAAACCTATATACTGACCAGGCAAATCTTGTACTGTGAAACTATATACTGACCAGGCAAATCTTGTACTGTGAAACCATTACTGACGAGACGAATCTTGTACTGTAAAACCATATACTGACGAGACGAATCTTGTACTGTAAAACCTTATACTGACGAGACGAATCTTATACTGTAAAACCTTATACTGACCAGGCAAATCTGGTACCGTAACATCGCGTTCTGGCAAAGATAAATCCTTCGTATTTTCATTTACTCACGCTGAAGTAACTACGCTTCAGTAGGCAGTGGCTGTTCATTCACACCTACATACTCCTAGCGAGTCCGACACAGAAGGACCGAAATGACAGTATGTATACCTTATGTTACATAATAAGCTTCAGAGTAGTTATTAAAAAAAGATTTACATAAGTATAGTTGTAACGTACACAAACATCAAGTAATGAACGGGTAGTATCCAGTTCGTTTTTAACCGTAGGATGAAATACTTTACTCCAGAGTCGGGTTCAGAAGATCCGTACAAACAGTATTGCGTATTTGCTAAAAAGAAAAAAAGAAAAAAGATGACTCCTACGGAAATATTTGTCACCAAGTTGAAGAGGAATAGGAGGAGAGTCATGGAATCATACACATCTATAATAGAATTAATACGCAATAAAATTCGTACCGGCTTCATACTTGTTTGCTTGTTATGGATTTCGCTCAAAGCTACACGAGGGCTATCTGCGCTAGCCGTCCCTAATTTAGCAGTGTAAGACTAGAGTGAAGGCAGCTAGTCATCACCACTCACCGCCAAGTCTTGAGCTACTCTTTTACCAACGAATAGTGGGATTGACCGTCACATCATAATGCCCCCACGGGGAAAGGGCGAGCATGTTTGGTGTGACGGGGATTCGAACCCGCGATCCGCAGATTGCGAGTCGAGCGCCCTAACCACCCGGCCCAGCTTAAAACTTGCATGATTCGTCCATCGTGAAGTTCTGATAGCACGTGCGACTTTACGTGTATAATGTATAAAGTACCACCACGAGCAGGAATGAAACCACTCACCCACATAAGAAAATTCTGGTAATCTCTTTTACTCGCTTTTCTAGCTCTTTCTTCCTGTAATGACAACAACCTACAGAATTAATGATTGCTGTCAAATACTGTCGTTGTCTTCACGTTCTTGAGGCCATGGTGTTAAACTGTAATCGCTTTCATTTTCATAACTTTATCGGTTAACAGTAAATATAAAATATAAGTTGAATATAATATAATAATTTCTATAATTAATAATAAGCATTTAAGATTAATGTATGAAATAAATACTTATTCTGAAGTAAACGTGTTGTCTTATGCTTATTATATTTCATCCTAACAAGTACACTATTATTAACAGATGTATGAAATAAATACTCATGCTGAAGTAAACGTGTTGTCTTATGCTAATTATATTTCATCCTAACAAGTACACTATTATTAACAGATGTATGAAATAATACTCATGCTGAAGTAAACGTGTTGTCTTATGCTTATTATATTTCATCCTAACAAGTACACTATTATTAAGAATAGTTAATTTTATTAACCTCTCAATATCCAAAGATTGTCACGTGGCTTAATACAGGGATTCCCTGACTGTGGATCCTCCCACAGAAATGGGATAACTTTTATATACGTTACTGATGTCTATTTTGTTCTCCTCACAATCAGCTTTCTTTTTTTTTCTGTTATGATGGTACATACTGTTAGTATAGACAATTTTCAGATTTCAGGTCATTTGGAAAGGTGAGTGTTTTGTGTTCCAGTTCCTCTGGGATCATTGACTGTCAGTTTGGGAATCTGGGTTTGGATTAATCAAAAGGCGATTGGTTATGAGCCCACGGTGTCCAGGGACCTTCAGTGGTTGTTATTTTTAAGCAGTCTTCTCAATTAACTCTTTTTTTTTAAAGTTGAAGAATGTAGCAATTTAAAAAACACTATAATTGGTAAAACGTAATTTTGATAGGTAGAACTTCATTGCGAAAAAAAAATTAAATGAAGGTTTGCGGAGAATTCTGGGCGAGGGGTACAGAATTAATGCTGCTCATGAGCCCACTGTGGTTTTAATTCAGCCCCTTGGGAACCCCTAGCTTAATATTCTACCCCCCACACGCACACATATTGGTTGTTTATATGTTTTTCTCTAAAATCATCGTTTTTCTTGCAATAGCCTGGAATAAACGTAAGAAACTAATTACAAAAAGGACTTTTAATTAACAAAATTATGCCTAAGTACTTTTTGCTGGTTTTTTTTTTATAAAAGTCCACTGCAAATTTTCCTGAAAAGAACTTTATGAAACGCATAAATATACAACTCTCAATTCACGTTACGTACGTCCTCCCAGTGACGTAACTGCAAAAGATGGCTCTTCCCACCCCCTACCCCACATAAAGTAATTGGTTCACCTATATTTACTTCCCTATAATTTTAGTTACGATTCGGACCTCATTTTGGCTCGGGCCTTCCCGCATTTTCGGGGTCATACTTACACCATTTTGTCCCCCGAACTCACTGGCAGCCTGAAACCTTCTTCCTTCAGAAATGATTGTTCAAACACAAGATGTTACATGACGTAAACGTGTCGTCGTACACCTGCTCTCCGATCTTTAGTTGATACACTGGTAGAGTTTTTTTGTTGACAAAACAATTCTGGGATCAAGGTATGCACGGGTCTGAAGAAACAAGAAAAAAAAATACTTGCACGTAACCAGTTTCACAAGTTCTATATTACGCAGCTACCTTGAACTTAGCATGCGCAGACCATGACTAGATTGGCCACGTTTTGTGTTTCCCATAGTCGACAACACCCACGCACTTGTGTGTGTGTATATACCTGCTACTTCAAGGAATCTCGAGTTTGTCATTAAACGTGTGATATAACACCACACCAGTGTAGCTCTGTTTGGTCAGGTATTTGTAATTTGTCGCGAGAGAACTATCACGAGACGGACAGCTAAGTGGAATGTTATCGAAAGTCAAGCGGTTTGTCGCATGTCCCTTGATTTGAAACAGCTCGTGACTGGAGCCTTGAATTTTGTTAACGCCGAGATCTTCTTAAGACGTCAAAATGGCTGTTGTGATTTATTATTTACTTGCCCAGAAACTACAGAAGATTCGGTGTGATTGTGTGAGGTAAGGTTTTGTTCCTTGAACTTTATCAAATATTTGCTCATGTTGTTACACACAGAAAGATAACCAGTTTGAAACGTAACTACTGCGGATCGTTATTGAAGTGTTACGTGTAGGTCGAAAAGGTGAAGACAACGTTTAATTCTGTTTACCCAAGGCCGGGCGTGACCTAGTGGTTAGCGTGGCTGGACTGTGTATCTGTGGGTTCACGGTTCTCGACCTGCTGCCTTTTAAGAGTGACAAGCAAATCCTACTATTCGGTTAACGAAGGGTTAACTACAAGAGTTGGCGGTGAGTGCTTTTGGTAGTCTACCCTATATTTTTATCAGTTCAGAATGAGGAACGGATATGTGTAGATAGCTCTCTTGCAAAAAATTGTGAAACAAGACCGTTTACAGCATTCTTTATTTACTTTTACTTTGGGAGTATTAAATAACAACGTTGTTTATTTAAAAACAAAACATACATTAATTCAATAATTATTAAGTATATTTCCTGTACCATACACTTGCTGAAATAGTTGGTATAAATATTTTTACATGTATTTGTATCAATGAAATCGAAGCTTCTTCCCGATAACAACCGTTTAATAAACACCCCTCGCCCCCCTCAACTATACGAAACTAATCACTAAGAGGTCTCGGCAGTAAAAGCACGGTGTTATAAAATTTATAAATTCACTATTTAATTTTAGGTTTCTCTGAACAGTAATTTCAAATCGTTTTAAGAAATTCCCCTTCAGTTTTTTTCTTTTTCTGTACGCACTGTATCACAAGAAGCAACGCACGCGCTTTTAATTAACGCACTACTCTCGAGCCAGCATTAGTAACCGCAGCATACATGACTCAGTGGGAACATCGCTGGTGAGACTGAGGTTCGCTGCGAAAAACTCGTAATATTGTCATTGAAACAATTAACTAAACTGTGAAAATGGTTGTTGGCATTACCATATAAGGCAATACGTAAGCGCTTTGATGATGACATCGTGAAACGAGCCGGGCGAAACACAATGGGTTCATAGTTCGCGCCCAAAACTGGTTTGGTTTCGCTCTTTGGGCCGTGTATCTTATAAGAATGACGGTCAAATTCCATCATTCGGTCACACGATTGTGCTCTGATAGTCATTGTGCGCAGATTCAAAAACTAGTAATTCTAAACAAGCCGTCAAGTTGAATTGAAAATGCAGATTTTCTTATCGTAAAACGTACTGAACTTCAGAGTTCATGTGGTAAAAAAAAACATTAGATAATACATCAGTAAATGAAGGAAACTTGCTGTAAAGTTCGTTGCCTAAATCAGTATGTATTTTGAAATGTCGAAAACTTAATGTTAAAATATTGGATGAAAAACATCCAAGAAAAATATGCTTTTATCTTTTTTTCAAAAACTGTATTTGTCAACATGTTGTTCCCCCATTTTTGTAGTATTTTCAAACGCGGTATTTGTCAACATGTTGTACCCCATATTTGTAGTATTTTCAAACGCGGTATTTGTCAACATGTTGTACCCCATATTTGTAGTATTTTCAAAAGCTGTATTTGTCAATGTACCCCAAATCTTTCACAGACATCGAACAAATTTTTACATGAAAGTAACTAACAATACTTATGATATGATACTTTACACAAAGAAAACAAACCATACCGCAACAAACAAATATTACATTAACTGCGTTACAGATGGTTACCATATACACACAATCCATATATTCCCCTCTTCCTCACTGGCAAAACAAATAGAACCAGAATTTCCAATCTTAAAATGTTACTCTATTGTAAAAATAGCCATAAAAGTAGTATTGTAAAGTTAACTAAAGGAAAGGTATAATGATGAAAACTAAGACTCTATTCAAACACCAAGCTTTCGATAGACAAAGTGGGGAAGTCAGTAATGTAGGGATTTTGTTCTCCATGTAAAGTCGAGACTGTTTAGTCTGCTATGTGACCATTAGCCGGATCAATTGATATGTCCACTTCCATCCCTATCTTGTTTGGTTCTTATTATCAAGTTCAGTAGCCGGCCCTACATAGCTGTTTTTATTTACCGATAATTTTTCCCTTACACTTATAAACCTTATAGCTCTATTAAACCATGGACTATCCCTAAGTCCTATGTTGTATTGTTTTTTGTTTGTTTTGAATTTCGCGCAGAGCTACACGAGGGCTATCTGCGCTAGCCGTCCCTAATTTAGCAGTGCAAGACTAGAGGGAAGGCAGCTAGCTACCCAAAATATACGGAACAACATGTTGACAAACACCGCGTCTGAAAATACTACAAATATGGGGTACATTGACAAATACCACGTTTGAAAATACTACAAATATGGGGTACATTGACAAATACCACGTTTGAAAATACTACAAATATGGGGTACATTGACAAATACCGCAAATACTACAAATACGGGGTACATTGACAAATACCGCGTTTGAAAATACTACAAATATGGGCTATAACTCCAAGAGGAAAGAACCTAGAAACCTGAAATTTTGCACACATACTAATTGGACCCTGAGGGTGTGCACCTGGGTATTATTACTTATCCACGTGCATGTGCATCTTTTTGAGAGGTAAGCAAGCGATAAACCACATAGAAAAGAATATGTGACCGCCATATCTCGAACCTGAAATAAGCTATAATTCATCAGACAACTCGTTCTTCATCTGTATATTTTCCAGGCTTTTCAGTTAATTGTTTTATTATTATAGATTTCAGGTTTGACTGTTGATAGTCTTAACGTTTAGTTTCTGTGGATAAAGTAAAAAAGTGTAGTCCAACTTGTGGGAACAAACCATAAAAAAAAAAAATACTCCAGTACTTTGTAACTGGACGACGTCACTACTTCAAGTCCCCCTGGTGGCTCAGTGGTGGTAAAATTGAGGGCTTGAAACACTAAGAAAGCAAATAGCCCATTGTGTAGCTTTGTGCTTAACGACAAAAATTCTACTTCAAGTTTCCTAGTTCCAAATGTGGGGAAATCGTTAGTTTTTATTCTTAACAGACAATGGGTGGTCCCAACCAACTGTTCTCGTCAGTTCTTTTATTCTGGGTGCAACAGGCAAAACAAAACTCCTTAAAATGATGCACTCTGTAGTTTTAATTTTTTGTGTTTTAATTTACATTCATGCGCGTTATCGGGAACAAGATTAAGATCTATAATAATTTTACTTTGAATCAAGGCTCTTCTGTGGCTCAACGGTAAGCTTGAGGGAGGTTTATAAAGCTAGAATTCAGGGTTTGATACCTGCGATTGCCACAGTACAGATAAACCATTGCCTATCTTTCTGCTAAAAATTCATTGAACAGAAAAGTTTCAAATTATTCAGTGTCATTATCTACTACTGCAACCCACAGTAGAAACAAAATTCAAATATTATAACGTATCGTTATGTTTCATTGAAAGCAATTGACAAGAAAAAAACAACAACTAATAATTATTAATAGAATGCTGTGAATCTATATTATATGAATTTCTGGGGAATCACTGACAAAATTCAGACCTTAGCCTTGCTCCTACGTTAAAGATAATTCAGAATCCCTCCTTACTCTCCTCCCTATCCTGTTTTCATATATCTGACACGAACTTGATTACATGCTGGAGGAGTTTCTAACGTAGGCCTAAAGTCAGGCCTTCAGGCCTGGAGTTCCATCGTGACACGTTTATCAGTACGCATCATCAGTAAAAACAAACGTAATACAATTTTCCTGATTGAAATAACACATGGAATGACAAAAAAGAAAAAGGTACCAAACAGCCTACTAGACAATCATATTGTATCTACGCTGTGATTCAAGGTATTGGGTTGTACTGCACATTTTATATTTATTCATTACTATTTTTACGAGAACTACATTTGAACTGTTTCAAGGGCTTCTGCTGGTAAGAAATAAAATGTTTTAATCTTTGTCTAGTTTAGGAATATGTGGATATTAATATTTGTTCCATAATCTCGTATATGTACGGAAAACGTTTTATAAACATTAGTTTTACTTATTCTAATTATTTATTAAATAATGATTTTGTAACGTTGTTGTTCTGTTGGGCGGATCCTTTTAAATTATTTGAAAATAATTCGAAGTCCCGTCAACGTAACGATAACAAATTAACCTATTTCTTTTTTTTATACGTTTCTACAAACTACCTTCACTTGTACACTGTAAGTTGTAGTTCTAAATACCTTCACAAACGACGCTGAAGCGGAAATACCACGACTAACTTAAGAAAATGTGTATACTTTCACTGCTATTCAACAATTAACACCGATTTCAACAATGCCCTAAAAGTAAATATTTCACTTCACTAAAGCTGATACTATACCGACTCAATACTAGCAAAGTACCCATTTTTGTATTTATAATCTAGTCTTGTTTTTAGATACTTCGCAAAATTACTAGATTTTTGTGACGTCATCTAGAACATGCTAAGCCTACTCCCACAAATTTACTTCATTTTAACATCATGCGTCCTCTAGCTAACATCCGAATTAAAACATTGAAAATATCAATAACAAAACTGGAAGAAACAAATTATAAAAATAATTGTTGTTGCAGTGATCTACGTTAAGGCATCAACACTACTCACTGATCAGGATAAAACGCTATAGAAATGATATCTTATTTTCTACTAGTTCGGCTACCCGTCCCCTGGACGGAAGTTATATTCATGATTAATGAAAGGTTATCTTAGGACATTAAAAGTTGTTTCCCTTACATGTAATTGTTACATGCTTGCAATAAATTCTAGTGATATGTTAACGTACTGCTGATGAAATGACATTTAACAAATGGGACAGAGAAAGTTGTGAAAGAGATTCCAGGTTATAATGATAAGTTAAACATCTGGAGAGTCGAGCAAAATGTAAAATTTAATTCTGGAAACTAGTAGGTTAACACAATACTGTAAAAACAACTACAACCTTTACACGGAGTGATGTTGTTTGTAATTAAGCACAAAGCTACACAATGGGCTATCTGCGCTCTACCCACCACGAGTATCGAAACCCGATTCTAGCTGGAGTGAATACCAGCAAAATATAGACTTGTTATGGGCGTTTTTCACCATCACCCCCACCTCCTGTGGATGGACCTTCACCAAGTAAGGTATGGAGGTTCATTGGGCCCATGGGGGAGATACACACAAATTTTCAGTTTTGCAATTTGCGTTTTGTGGTATCTATGGGCGTTTTCGCCCCTATTGATCAAAATTGAAAATTTGTATATATCTCCCTATGGGCCCATTGAATCTCCATACCAAATTTGGTGAAGCTCCATCTACAGGAGGTGAGGTAGTGATTTATAAAAGAAAAAAAAACGCCCATAAGAACCGCAAAACGCATAATACAAAACCGAAAATTTGTATGTACCCCCGCATGAACCAAATGAACCTCCATACCAATGTTGGTGAAGCTCCATCTACACTCTGCGAAGTGATTTATATGGAAATACAAAATACAGTACTTAGGTACCCTTTACGTTCCATAATCTGTATTTTGAATTCCTTTTAGTTTCATCAATATAAATACTACCATGTTCTATTTTGTATATCCCAATTTTATATTCTAATTCTATTTTATCCTTGGTAACAACATCTCTTTAATCTTATTTATAGGTTTAAACATGGAATAAAAGTTGTTTTTTAGAAACATCAAATAATTGACCTCTTGGAATATGGGGCAAACTTAGTTTCTTTTCTAGTCCTTATTTCATAAACAGATTTTAACACACTAATTTTAACTAATATCGAACTATTACTAAATTTATTAAATGATCTATCTATATTTAGTGCAAATCAATTTTAAACCGCTCAAATGAAATAGAAAATTCAGCTATATCAGAACACTTACAAACAACACAACATACAATTCTATGAGACAATATATCCCAGAATCATGGGCAATAATACCATTAAAAAACGAGAAACAAGTATTAAATCGAGATGAGTCACTTAAATATATGACGTGACGTATTGTAAATGTTGACCAATGATTTATGTAAATAATCCTGAAATGTAATACCATATGACATACAGAAGCATAAACATTAAACTGTCTTGGAAATAACTCCTCAAGACAACGTAGAAGGTATCGAAACGTGTAGTGTTTTGAAGTGGAAGCCATTAATAAACTTTTAATTCTGTAAATATGAAACATTATTTTTTGAGTGAACAATATATATACATGCATCTGTCACCCCTGACAAGGAACTCTTCCCCCCCCCCAAAAAAAAGGAGAGGGGAGGTGACGACTTTTGGAAAATGTAATCCCCATATTTGATTTGAAAGAGATAGGTCATACCATCTTACAAGTATATAATTAGACTAGAAAAAAGGTTCACATGGGAAATAATACCCTCAAGGAGTGTGTGTGAGAAATTCGTATTTATATGTACATCTAATGAACTGTTTGGAGTAGTGGTTCGTTTTTCTGTAGCAGTAGTAGTACATTTTTCTGTAGGAGTAGTGGTTCGTTTTCCTGTAGGAGTAGTGGTTTGTTATTCTATAGCAGTGGTTCGTTTTCCTGTAGGAGTAGTGGTTTGTTTTTCTATAGCAGTACTCCGTTTTCCTGTAGGAGTAGTGGTTTGTTTTTCCTGTAGGAGTAGTGGTTCGTTTTTCTACAGCAGTACTCCGTTTACCTGCAGTATTAGTGGTTCGTTTTTCTATAGCAGTACTCCGTTTTTCTGTAAGAGTAGTGGTTCGTTTTTCTGTAGGAGTAGTGGATCGTTTTTCCTGTAGGATTAGTGGTTTGTTTTTCTATAGCAGTGGTTCGTTTTCCTGTAGGAGTAGTGATTTGTTTTTCTATAGCAGTGGTTCGTTTTCCTGTAGGAGTAGTGATTTGTTTTTCTATAGCAGTACTCCGTTTTCCTGCAGGAGTAGTGATTTGTTTTTCTATAGCAGTACTCCGTTTTCCTGCAGGAGTAATGGTTTGTTTTTCTGTAGTATTAGTGGTTCGTTTTTCTATAGCAGTACTCCGTTTTTCTGTAGGAGTAGTGGTTCGTTTTTCTGTAGGAGTAGTGGATCGTTTTTGTATAGCACTAGCAGTCCGTTTTTGTATAGCACTAGCGGTTCATTTTTTTTATGTTAACCGGTAATATTCATACCAAGTTATTTGTGTTCTTTAGTTGATTTTTTTTTCTTTTTCAGAAAAAACGGTTCGTTAAAAGCAGTAATTGGTGTTATCGCAGCCTTGCTTATGATCTCCCTTGTGATAGGTTTGAGCATTGGACTCTTAATCACGCCGCAGTCTGAAAACGTTGCAATGTCCAAAGTGTACACCAGAGCTGCCATATCGACGGACGCTGGTCAGTGCGCATCAGTGGGAAAGTAAGTGGACGGAATTTCTTGAATAGCTTTCGTTCCTGGAGCTTGTGTTTTAATGAATCTCGCATTGTCATAAACGCTTGTTTCTAATGGATCCGTATTTCAACGTCTTCTGTTAATATACGTTATGGTCGTTTGAAACTTGGTCTCACATTCAGTTCCTTTGTTATTATTATACCCGACTTTCCAAACACCAAATTAATTCTACGATGTCAAAGAAGAGTCAACGGATACATGAGTAGTTTCTATTGAATCATATCGTTCGTTTCTATGTAAAAACGAAAATCTATGTTGATGGATATACTAAAAAAAAATCCTTAATTAACAATAGGAACAGATATTGTAATTCTGTGTTAATACATTCATTAACAATTCAAGGTTCATTAATTATGTTTAATTCTGTCTGAAACAGACGTTGGTAAGGGAACGTCAACTAAAACTTTGGTATTCTCGGCCTGTCAGTTTAACCAAATATCAACTTAGCATTCTTTTCAAAATGTTGGAAAACGACCTGAATGTATTTACTAAATAATGATCCATCTTAAAGTCACGACATTCATTTACTAAATAATAATGATCCATCCTGAAGTCACGACATTCATTTACTAAATAATAATGATCCATCCTGAAGTCACGACATTCCTTTACTAAATAATAATGATCCATCCTAAAGTCACGTCATTCATTTACTAAATAATAATGATCCATCCGAAAGTCGCGACATTCATTTACTAAATAATAATGATCCACCCGAAAGTCGCGACATTCTTTTACTAAATAATAATGATCCATTCTAAAGTCACGACATTCCTTTACTAAATAATAACGATCCATCCTAAAGTCACGACATTCATTTACTAAATAATAATGATCCACCCGAAAGTCGCGACATCCTTCAGTATATATATATATATATATGTATATATATACATGAATCTTAAAACAATGGGATTAGTGAATGTTGTTCCATTTTACTTTCCAGATCCATGTTAGAGAAAAACGGATCGGCAGTAGATGCGGCGATTGCTACGCTTCTCTGTATGGGAGTGGTGAATCCTCACAGTTCAGGTCTCGGAGGAGGATTTCTCATGGCGATTTACCAAAGGTAACGTCTGTAAAACAAGTACTCTTGTAGAAATGGTGACATTTTAATTTGGTCAATTCATCGCTAAAAAAAAAAAACGTTGAACGTGAAAACACCATAATAATATTCAGGAAACGACATATATATGTCACGTTAGTGAAATAATTATATATGATTCTTTATCAATGTTTGTACTTGTGGGTCTGTCATGGTTATCTATCTCAACTCCGACACGGAATTGAACGTCGACTCCGAAAATACTCACTTTTTCAGCCGTGGGGGCGTTATAATATGACGATCAATCGCACTGTTCGTTGGTAATATAGTTGGCGGATAGGTGCTGCCGGCCGGTAGCCTTCTTTATGGTCGGCAGTTTAAAATTAGAGACGGCGGCAGGAAGTCTTAGTAGCCTTGCAATACACAAAAACAAGCAAATAAAAACTGTACACGCGAGTTTGGTAGACTTAACACCTGGTGACTTGAAAGGTTAGCAGGTTATAATGTACTCTGCTCACGAGATCGCCTTGGTGTCGCGTGATTTATCCAGCTGATGGCAAAACTACCTTCACAATACGGTTTTAACTTGAAGAGTAACTTTTACAGAAAGTTGGTAGTGTTGGATCTTCCCTTGGATGGAGCAAAAGTTACTCTTCACGTACAGAAAGTTGGTAGTGTTGGATCTTCCCTTGGATGGAGCAAAAGTTACTCTTCACGTACAGAAAGTTGGTAGTGTTGGATCTTCCCTTGGATGGAGCAAACGTTACTCTTCACGTACAGAAAGTTGGTAGTGTTGGATCTTCCCTTGAATGGAGCACATGAAATTTCTTTTTATTCTCTTTTCAAATTGTAACCATGTTTTTATTAATTTCACTATCTTTTTTAAAATCTCACCTTGCGTAAGTCAATTTGTATTTCAAATAGCGGTTGTCTTCGCGGAATATTTTCAAAAACGCTTAAGAAATCTGCCTATTTGTAGCGAGAAAAAAAATAAAACTGGCACCGAGCTACATTTAGAAGATGGTTCTGTCATGCAACTTTTAAAAAATCAAATATTGAAATCTTGAATCTGTAGTTTACTGGCATTACGTATTCGGTGCTAGTAAATCCACAACCTTTTAAAGCTACAGTTGTAACCACTGTTTAATTAATGACTGTGAAATACACTTACGTGCACACTGTTACTGAGGTTATTTCAAGAATAAATGTTCGTACATAACAACTGATTATAATTGAGTTGCATGATAAGGCCTTACAAGATTTATTATTGTTAAATTCAATTACATTTTTCTAGTATATAATTTTAAGTCGGCCCCTTGGGGAATGAGCGGTAAGTTTCTGGACGTGCAGTGCTAAAATCCGGAGTTCGATTCCTCATGGGGAACAAAGTGCGGATAGCCAGCCAGCCAATTATGTAGCTTTGTGTTAATAATAACATTTTAAAATCAAAACGGCAACGGAACAAATGAAACACTATCCCTAAAATCGTAATTTTTTTATGTATTTAATGGAAAACGTTTTCTGTTTAATTAAATTTAACTGTGCAATCTCGCGGACTGTTTGCAGAGATGAGAAGTTAGTAAAAGTCTTGGATTCCTACGAGATGGCGCCACAAAAAGCCACTGAGGACATGTACGATGGAAATCAAGAACTGGCTCGAGAGGGTAAGTTAATCAGAAAATAACAACAACAACAAAAAACAAGATGTGTGAAGGTAAGAGATATAAATCTACCCTAAGTAATTACTACAACACATTTTACTGTGTATCTGTGTATTGTATCTCGTCATTTAACTCGCCTTTTCACTGATTTATAAAAGAAAAAAAAGAGGGCGCGCGTAAGAAAGCATATTTATTAAAGAGGGAGTCTAGATGACAAAAAGTTTTAAAAACGCTGGTGTAACTTGTTTTATTTAAATATTAAAATGTAATCTTAAACTATTATGACACTTTTGTTGTCATTCTATTTTATTAAGTTGACTTCGGGTCGTTTCCACTGCTGCATTTCAAATTTACAGGGGTGATAGTTTACATTCAGATGTGCTTTTGTTTTGTTTTTTTCCCTCTAAACGGATTTTCAGTAGATATACAACTTAATTTATCACTGTTTAATTGTTAAGTTTACTTCAGATCATTAATAGTAAGTTAAAACCTGATGTGCTATGTTTTCTTATCGTAGGCGGATTATCAGTTGCTTTACCTGGAGAGCTGGCTGGTTACATAGTTGCTTGGAAGGAATACGGAAAACTTCCATGGTCAGAACTATTTCAACCCGCCATTGAAATGTGTGAGAACGGGTTTTTAGTGGGAAGAGAGCTTGGGATGGCACTTGCTTGGAACAAGAATTTGATACGGAATGAAAGCAGTCTTCGGTAAGACTAAAACAACAAAACTGAAACTTAATTACCGCTAAAATATCGAATTAAAGGATGAATGGTTAAATAAATGGTATCATTGAGTTACACACAATCTTGTAGAAAATACATCAGTTTAAATATGTTGTGTTCTCTACACCTGCAACCAGGCGATACTGGGTGAGTTCTGGTTGAACGTTGTTTTAATTTACTGATTCTTCTCTGCCGGCTTTCCGATGCCAATATAATTTTAAGTAGCTTTGGAGTACCTGTAAATAACCGATCAGGTAGTTACAGCTGCTGTTACATTTCTAATTTATATACAGTAACTTGAAGTCAATGGGGTGTGAGTGTATTTCTTATTGTTTCCCGTCCCACCAAACATGTTCGTCCTTTCAGCCGTGGGGGCGTTATAATGTTACGGTCAATCCCACTATTCGTTGGTAAAAGAGTAGCCCAAGAGTTAGCGG